TCTTCTCACAACCAGACCATCGCCAGAGAAATCTTAACAAACAACACAGAAATCATCGATAGATACAGCGATAGCAGGCGGCTCAACATCAGCGAGGCACTACACATCAAAATAGTCAACACCAGCAATCAACAGCCAATTAATGCACAACTATATTCTACCCACTTCAAGACCCCGAACCAATGTGGAAGCAGCAAGAGGAGGTTGGGCCAATAGGCCTTCTGCAGTTACTTCCATTCTTATGTTTTCATACCCAATTTATACCCATTGTTTCGTGTATATATATATATATATATATATATATATATATATATATATATATATATATATATATATATATATATATCTGGGGTAACTTATTGGGAATATGAGAATAATGACGGAAGAGCTCTGAAAAATGCTAAAGGACGTGGAAAACATAACAGGAATCGTCCCTTAAGTGGCTCTTGAAATCCAATCCCAGCCAATGCAAGGCAATGTGATTGAGAACTGGAGAAAACAGGCAAAGAAATTCACTCCACCTGAACAGAAGTCAGCGTCTAGAATCTGGAAAGAGAAGAGGACCGAGGGAATTTTTCCTTACGTCGAGCCTATCACCTGAAGTACAAACGAACAAGATGAATTTTTAATGAATACAAAGTTCGTCATCACGAACGTTAGACCAATTCTGGCAACCCGTTCTCGCAAATTTAATAAGTCAATATTGACTTATTAAATATGTGCATAGGTGACATACTTAACATAATAGATACCCTTAAAAAGATTCATAGAAAACACCGACCTTACCTAACCTTGTTAGTATCTTAAGATAAGCATCTTATTGCTTCGTAATTACAATTATTACCTAACCTATAATAGGTATAGGTTAGGTAATAATTGTAATTACGAAGCAATAAGATGCTTATCTTAAGATACTAACAAGGTTAGGTAAGGTCGGTGTTTTCTATGAATCTTTTTAAGGGTATCTATTATGTTTAGTATATCACCTATGCACGTAGTTAATAAGTCAATATTGACTTTATGAATTTGCGAGAACGGGTTGAATTCTGGAGAATGCAGCACCAACAAAGACATCTCACTTCGTCAGGAACATGGATAAAATCTAAAAGGTAGAGAGGTCTGTCATAAGGCTCATTGCAAAATGAAAGGACGCTGAAATATTTAACTATGAGAATTATTTTCCTTAGTATATGACTTATCTTTATAACAACTTTATTGACAAGATATACATACAAGTTTGCAGAAAATAAGGTATTTCGTTAGGTCTTATTGCAGTGAGGATGCTGCTCATATTCACTGCCACACAAGACATTGAGGATTCTGCTCATAATCACTGCCTCATGAGTTAGGAGAGAAGCTGAGAGACAATTTAAAAATAACATTACAGTACACCAAGAACTTCAAAAAAATCTTGTAGCTCTGAGGCAAAGTGAAATCGACACCAGTAATTCCATCTATCATCATACCATCATGCAAGAGGAGCCACACATCTATGGTTCATCCAATAAAATCAGCAGACTTCTAGATGTTACTACTGCTCGGCTTAGACTCGGTTACAAGTATCTCTGGGAATTCTCATTATCTGCTGATGTAGACCTGACCAAATGTAAACTGTGTCAACAAAATTATTCGCACACCCTCCGTCGCTATGTGATGGAGTGCGAAAAGATACGTAAATTCAGAGACAATTCTATAACCAATGTTCCAGCAATGTGTAAATATTTCATTCAAAATGATCTGCTACCAGAAATCTTGGCCAAATATTCCCAGTTTGCTAACTGTAGGTAGTAACTACGTGACTAACCTATCCACCGCTGCCCACTGGATGGGGGGCGGTGTGCAGAACAAACATATCAATTGTGACACTAGCTCTCCACATATGTCAGTTGCTTAATTTAGAAACTGTACTTGTGGTCGATCTCGAGCCCATTGTTGATGTGATGATGTGCACTGAATTTTGTAACTAGCTCAGATTGTAACATGTAACTTGCTTAGCTAAATGAATTGTGGGGTTCAGAGCCCATTATGTGCCTCTGTAACCATTTCCACTACCGCCCACAAGATGGGTATAGGGTGCATAATAAATGAACTAAACTGCAAAAGCAGGAAATGGCTGCTTGAATTTAATCCCAATAAGTATAAGATAATGAATATGAGAAAGGGAGAGAGAAGACCAAAAAGCATCTACACAGTAAGGGAAATGCAACTACAGGAATGTGAGAGAGCGAGAGCGAGAGAGAGAGAGAGAGAGAGAGAGAGAGAGAGAGAGAGAGAGGTATTTGGGAGGATATAATTCCGAAACTAACATCAGAGATACATATAAACTGAATAACATTGGCAGCATATGGGACGCTAACACTTTAGAACAATATTGGAACATGCAGCACCAGCAACGAGTCCGTAGCCTGTGAACCATAAAGTCAAAACTGAAAATCTGCAAAGGTTTGCAGCAGCAAGATTGGTGCCAGAGCCAAGAGTTTAAGCTGTGACGATAAGCTAATTGAACTAAATCACACAATCTTAGAATATAGAAGGAACAGAGGGGAAACAATCCATCAACAATCAGGCACAATCTTAAAATATAGAAGGAACAGAGGGGAAACAATCCATCAACAATCAGGCACAATCTTAGAATATAGAAGGAACAGAGGGGAAACAATCCATCAACAATCAGGCACAATCTTAGAATATAGAAGGAACAGAGGGGAAACAATCCATCAACAATCAGGCACAATCTTAGAATATAGAAGGAACAGAGGGGAAACAATCCATCAACAATCAGGCACAATCTTAGAATATAGAAGGAACAGAGGGGAAACAATCCATCAACAATCAGGCACAATCTTAGAATATAGAAGGATCTCAACATACAAGATACTTAGGGGGAATATATAAGGTGTACAAGGATAGCCTCTTCAGATTTAAAGCAAGCAGGACAAGAGGATACAGGTGGAAGCTAGAATCTCAAATGAGCCGAAAGTATATAAGGGCGTCCTGGTACCCTGTACGGGTACCAGTGTACGGGTACCTACCCTGTACGGGTACCAGTGTACGGGTACCTACCCTGTACGGGTACCAGTGTACGGGTACCTACCCTGTACGGGTAGTCAACAAGTGGAATGGTCTAAAAGAAGGTGTAGAAGCCACCTCACTCCACAACTTTAAGGACAGATTTAACAAAGAATTTGAACATCAGAATAGTTCAATTGAGACGGAACAGGCCAGTAGTCGTGGCACTGAGAGCTATAGACCTCATCCCCCCATGTAGTAACACACACATGGGCAGCGTTTCTCTCACCTGATGCTTCTGTTCACCTAGCAGTAAACAGGTACCCGAGGTTTAGCTCGCTACTTCCTGGGATGTGTGTATTCACCTAGTTGTATTCACCTAGTTGTGTTCGCGGGGGTTGAGCTTTGCCCTTTCGGCCCGCCTCTCAACTGCCAATCAACTGTTTACTAACTACTTTTTTTTCCACACACACACACACACACACCAGCAGCCCGTGACAGCTGACTAACTCCCTGGTACCTATTTACTGCTAGGTAACAGGGGCATTCAGGGTGAAAGAAACTTTGCCCATTTGTTTCTGCCTGGTGCGGGAATCGAACCCGCGCCACAGAATTACGAGTCCTGCGTGTTATCCACCAGGCTACCAGGCCCTAACTCCCTGGTACCTATTTACTGCTAGGTAACAGGGGCATTGTGTGTGTGTGTGTGTGTGTGTGTGTGTGTGTGTGTGTGTGTGTGTGTGTGTGTGTGTGTGACTGAATTATATGTAATATTTATTATTTATTTATTTATTTATATATATACAAGAAGGTACATTGGGTTTGTGAGAGTACATAGCATTGATGTGTTTACATTCTTGTAAAGCCACTAGTACGCACAGCGTTTCGGGCAGGTCCTTAATCTAACAGATAATATTAACAAGGTAAATTCTTGCAAAATGTAAACAATGTTAACAGGTACATTGTAGGAAAAATTTGATAAAGATTAGTAGGTACATTAAAGCACATTGATAGCTTTGATTGATAGCACTGATAGCTTGATTGATATTTTGACAAAGATTAGTAGGCACATTAAAGTATATTGATAGCACATATAAGATGACAGCAATGATCACAATGGGAAAGTTATATGGTTTAGGTATATATATATATATATATATATATATATATATATATATATATATATATATATATATATATATATATATATATTGGGGCGATTGGGTAGCACTAGATACAGTGCGAGTTTAAAGCACTAGGTAGGAAACTATGAAGATGAAATGAGGTACTTTTTGGTTTTGTGTTTGAATAAGGCAAAAGTCGGACTGTTGGACTTGCATAATAGACATAATAGAGGAAAAAATAGACCGGTTAGAAAGGCGTAGCCCAGGAGCTAATTGCTCGATACTTCAGGCACAAATAGGAAATACAAATAGTAAATATACACACACCAACCAATGCAATTTCTCGATATATTTATATAATTCCTTTATATAATTCATATATATTTTTGTACCTCTGTGTGCTTCAGGGAACAACTATATCTCTAAAATACATTTGTGTCTCCTGGAGCAGCTGTCGTCTCAAGACCTTTAATATTCTTTCTTCTGGAATATTTCATAGATGCTACTTGTTAATAATTCACATAACTTGGGACTTTGACGCTAGCGAGTCGTATTGCCTGGAGCTTCCAGTCTCCGCCCACCGGCAACTGTTCCTTACTCCGATTGGCTACTCTATACTCAATGGGCGGAGTCTGCTTTCCCGCCGTAACACGAATTTTACTATTGTTAATCATTTATGCATTATTTATCACCAGTAAGATGCATTATTATTTGAATCATTACCCCACTTAAGAGTAAAATTATATCTCAGGTCATTAATGCCGAATTTATGCAGTCTAGAAGGATGTCATTTTCTCGCGGATCATCGCGCATCTGGCACATCAGGTTTGTTATTGATAAGCCAAAGCCAAAACCACGTGCTCGGTACTATAGTGTCGGATTACCGCGGTGACAAGCGGTGTGGATGGAGTCTGTAAGTCACTAGGCACCTATGACTGCCAGCATCGTCCAGCTGACTCGCCACTCTGCCCCCAACACGCCTTTAGTGTTCCGTATTGAAGTCCCAACCAACAGCAATACAGCACATCGTCACATTGACCTTCTGAAGTCCACGTCGCGGTGTACCGGTGTTCATCATGGGGAGTTACCGGCATACAGTGTTTTGATTCAAAAGACAATTTTCCTATAAATTTTGTTGTGGTTGTTGCGTGTGTGTCGGGATTTCCTCGCAGCTCAAGTGGTACCGGGTTTTAGACGCAAGAGTTAAGGGAGAACGTTAGAAATTAGACCCTTGAGGTACGGAAGAGGGGTGAACTGTGGCCGTGCTTGCGTCAAGTACTGAGTGAATTGCCTCATTGCAACGGGACTCTCCTCATTGTAACAGGAATCTCAGTGTATCAGGACTCTCCCCAGTGCAGTAGTACTCTCCTCAGTGCAACAGAATTCTCTTCAGTGCAACAGAACTCTCCTCAGTGCAAAAGAACTCTCCTCGGTGTACCAGGGCTCTCTTCAGTGCAACAGGACTTACCTCTGTGCAACAGGACTCTCCTCGGTGCAACAAGACTCTCCTCGGTGCAACAAGACTCTCTTCAGTACAACAGCACTTCAAATTTCTCTGTATAATCTCACGATCAAAACAAAGTCTTAATGAACAGAAATAACAGATCTTTTCTTGAGCTTGAGTTTAATCAAGTGAACTTTTGACTCGAAACACTTGAAAACTTGAGAGCTCAAGTTTTCCTACGAGCTCTTGACTCGTAGGAATTAGTACAAGTAATTATAAAAGGCGCCAAGCGGGGAAGACTGTAGCAGGAATTCCTACAAACCATTGCCAACAAATACTTAGTAAAGCTAAAGACCTAAGTTCTGCAGCTTCCGAATACATGCACGAAGTTCTATAACCCTTTAAGTCAACAGCTAGCCCATGGAAAACAAAAAGACTGGAATCTAGAACCAATCGCCGATTAGATTCCTGAAACTACCACTCAGAACTGTTTTTTATAAACTCCCATCCCTCTCCTTTCCTTTCCTTAGCATCATACCCCTCCCCTTCCACCTGTACTCTACCCAGCCAGCACCACCGAGGCAACCATGTACGGGCTGGAGAACGTGAACCTGGAGGCCATGAACCGCCAGTGGATGGCCTCGCCAGGCTACCTGGACTGGGACGTGGCGGCGGCCACTACCACCTCCGCCTCCTCCTCCCCGGCGTCCTCATGCGAGGCTGCCGACTCCTGGCTGCCCTGGACCACCTCCCACAAGTCCCCACAGGTGGGTAGTTATGGGTTCCTGGTGTTGTGGACAGTTATAGGGGTGCGGGTGGTCTTCCAGCTGCCTTGAGGTTACCTTGAGGTGCTTCCGGGGCTTGGCGTCCCCCGCGGTCCGGTCGTCGACCAGGCTGTTAGGCTACCAGGCTAGATCGAAAACGTTGAGGAACATACAATCTGTTGACGCAACTGGGTTCCTAGCAATAGCTTGAAGCCTATCGTCTATATTCTCATTCCTTCTGTTGTACTTTGGGCATCCAGCTCTTCATTCGCGAGGGAGTCTCTCCTGTGCAGGACTGAAAACAGCAGCTAAGGTGAAGCTGGGCTCACGCAAACCTAACCACACACATTTACTCCTGGTTAACTCACTGTATTTTTTCGAATATATCATTTTGTTTATGGTTAAGCCTAGGATAGGTTAATCTAGGTATTTTGATACGACAATTATCTGTACTTCAACTATCTATATTTCAGTCTAGATTTGTTAAAGCGGCAGCCGACCCCCAGAGATGCATTCATAAATTTGAACATTATACATATTATATATATATATATATATATATATATATATATATATATATATATATATATATATATATATATATATATATATATATATATATATATATATATAAAATTTAAGTTCTATGTATAATTAGTCTAAGTTGAGGTTAGGCCAGTAATTGCCAACAACCTAAACATCTAACCTGATCTACGCCTAAGACACATTCATCAATATTAACATGTTATTCACTCAATATAGGTATTTCCTTAAATTTCAATTAATATTATTATATATTTTAGCATATTGTGCATACTTAGCCGTAGATCAGGTTAGGTGTTTAGGTTGGTGGCAAATATTTTCATATGCACTACGTGGGTAAAGTATTTATAGAGTTGCGATTCGAACAGAGGTCGTCAGCGAATCACTGTCCGAGAAATTTTCGAACGTCATCAGACGTTAGTCGTGAGGGGGGAAAAAAACGTTTTTCTTCCATTAACAAGGGTTTTAGCGGCTGCATGGATTGAATATTTGTCCTTTATTGATAATGACTGGCCGCAGCCCCTCCTCGTCAACAAAGGCCTCTGTTTATGAATGAAAAACGTTTTTTCTCCCGCCTGATGACGTATGTACTTTTCTCGAGCTGTGCTTCGCTAACGATCTATGTTCGAATCGCAAGACTAAATGCTTCACCCCACATACTATAAATAATCGCAAAATAAACACGTAACCTCGCCTACGCCTAACTATTCACAGAACTCCAATGTCTAATAATATTAATTTATACTCGAGAAAAAACATATTTTTATTACACCGTTCTTTAAACTGGATGAATGTGTCCGCCGGTTTCACGAGCCTAGCCTTAGAACGGGTTGCTAAATGCACTAAATGCTTCACCCACGTACTGAAAATATAAATAGTTATCGACAGAACCTAACCACCTAACTTAACCTAAACTAGGCCTAACAATCAAGTAATATATGTTTGATAAAATACCGATTTTGAATACGTTAAAATTGATGAATGCTTCTTTTGTGTAGTCCTCTGCATGGAGGATGGGGGGTTAAAGGGGGACAGGGGCCGGCTTCCTGTCCCCGTCCAGGGCACTAGAGAGAGGGTTGCCCTCAGGTAAATTCGGGTTCCTAACGTGCAATCACTGAAATATATTTATTTTCACTTTCTACGGCCTCTAAATACGAAATTATCTTCAAATAAATCTTACGCTATTTACAGCAGAATAAAGCAAAATTAAATATCCATGTTTGACTTTGTTTATTGATGCTTGTTTGTTTATTTGTATAATATACTTTTCAAAGCAAGACTTAGGTAAAAGAGTATTCAAACTTTTGAAAATCAAATCAAACAATGTTTAAACAACTGGATACCCAAAGGCGAATTTCTGAGTATATACAGTGAGAACTTACTTAAATTTAAAACTTCAGTCATGAAATATATTCGAGACAGAAATATACTCGGTGGTTGGAGAGTAAGCTATTGTGTTGGGCTTAATAACCAAATAACTTGATAAAACCAAACCTAAAAAGATGTTTCATGTCTTGCAAGTCCTATAGTTCACGCCCCCCCCCCTGTGAACTATAAGACTTACGACCCCCATAACCCACAGCTCAGTGGGGGGGGGGGGTTTAGACCCCCCTCCCTCTTCCCTTGTTCAAATGCTCAGGGAAAGTGTTGACCCCCCCCCCCTCCCTCCTCCTCCTCCCTCAGCTCCCTAAAAATCTATCCCAGGGAGTTAACAAAAATTATAATTGCCAAAGGCATCCTCTTCCCCCTCTCTACCTCCTGAAGGACTAGCCCTCAGGAGACATCCATCAGATAGTCAGCGTTCTCATCCCCTGCTCGTCCACCCTTCCAGGAGGACTCCCTGCTGGCCTCGAGTGCGCGCGAGAACCGTCGGCGGCGACGCATGTGTCCCCTGACGCAGGTCCGGCAGCGCCAGGCGGCCAACATGCGCGAGCGACGCCGCATGGCCTCCATCAACGACGCCTTCGAGGGCCTCAGATCCCACATACCCACCATGCCATACGAGAAGCGCCTTTCCAAAGTGAGTCGTCGCCACTCTCTCTCTCTCTCTATGACGATATTATCTCCTCCATAATACCCAATGCCCGACTCTACCTAACCTAACAATGCCCTCCTGGTGCCCCAGGTGGACACGCTGCGACTGGCCATCGGCTACATCACCTTCCTCTCAGACATGGTGGAGACGAACCCGGAACTCCAGCCGCAGGATCCAGTCAACAGTAATAATAATAATAATAATAAGATCCTGGTCAAGAGCAATGTTGATGTGTGTAAGTACTCCTCTGCTGGTCGAAGACTTGTTGATGTTAGTACTTCCCTGCTGGTCGTAGACTTGTTGATGTTAGTACTCCCCTGCTGGTCGTCGACTTGTTGATGTTAGTACTCCCCTGCTGGTCGTCGACTTGATGTTAGTACTCCCCTGCGGGCCGTAGACTTGTTGATGTTAGTACTCCCCTGCGGGCCGTAGACTTGTTGATGTTAGTACTCCCCTGCGGGTCGTCGACTTGTTGATGTTAGTACTCCCCTGCGGGCCGTAGACTTGTTGATGTTAGTACTCCCCTGCGGGCCGTAGACTTGTTGATGTTAGTACTCCCCTGCGGGCCGTAGACTTGTTGATGTTAGTACTCCTCCTCTGTTGGTCGTAGACATATTGATGTTGTACCTGTACTCTTGTAAGTTGTATCTTAATTCGCACGGCAGCTAACCTTCCTTTTGCTGATCTCCTCGACATATCCATAAGAGAATCCGTTATTGATCAGGACCTGCCCCACTCTCCCGAGTTCCTCGTCAACCAGCTTCCAACTGGAGCTGTGTGTGTGAGGGCGCGGTTGACGTATACATTGACAACACTCCGCTTGTACCTATTAGGGCACTCACTCTTATTATCATGACACATTCCCATGTTAGTTCCCTTAGTGTAGAATGCGGTGTTAAAACCACCATTCCTTTCCCAGACTATTGCATCTAGGAAAGGTAGTCTACCTCTACTCTTAATCTCGTAGGTGTACCTTAGCATTGAACTTCGTTCGAATGCATCGTTAAGCTGCAGCAAGTGCTCAATATCAGGAACCTGCAGGGATATGTCTTCTACATATCTACAGTCTACTGGGCTCTATCAAATCTACATTTAAAACTGTGTATGGAGTCATCCTCCACCACATCACTGCCTAATGCATTACATTTGTTAACTACTATGACAAGGAAAAAATTCTTTCCAGTGTCTCTATGGCTCATTTGGGGTACCAAGTTTCCACCTGTGTCCCCTTGTTCGTGTCCCACCCGTGCTAAATAGTTTGTCTTTGTCCACCCTGTCAATTCCCCTGAGAATTTCGTAGGTGGTTATCATGTCTCCAGTCACTCTTCTATTTTCCAGGAACGAGAGGTTCAGGTGTGTGTGTGTGTGTGTGTGTGTGTGTGTGTGTGTGTGTGTGTGTGTGTTAGCACAACATAGGTCACGTCAGCGTGCGGGTGTCCAGTCGCGTGTAACATACTAACAGAATGTTTTGATCTCGCTGCAGATGGCGGCGGGGGCGGCGTGGCGGGCGAGCACCACACCTTCACCGAGCTCTCGTGGGCACCCCAGCGGCAGGAGGTCATCAACGGCAGAGTCAACACCTCCCTCTGGACCCCCACCCACGCTAACTGACACGCCCGTGTCCACCCACGCCCACGCTAGCCGACACGCCCGTGTGCAAGCAAGCACTCTCACCACCCGTGTCATCGGCAATGACGACTAATCGAGCTTATCCTCATCGTCCTAGATAATAACCTCATTTACATTCAGAATTGTGAATTCTTGAGGAGAAAATCAAACCACACCCTAGTCAGTAGTTATATGTTATGTATAGTGTGCCCTTGGGGTAGACAGCCCTGAGGGTCGTCCGCTTGTGTGTCCCTCACTCTAGTCTGTACCTATGTGGCATCTCAAGGTCCTACTCAACCCTGAAAGATCCCAAGGTCCTACTCAACCCTGAAAGATCTCAAGGTCCTACTCAACCCTGAAAGATCCCAAGGTCCTACTCAACCACAAAAGATCCCAAGGTTCTACTAAACATAACAAATTTCAAGATCCTCAAATACCAACAAAAAAATCAAGGTCCTATACAACCCCTCCAAGATGCCCAGGTCCTATACAACCCCTCCAAGATGCCCAGGTCCTATACAACCCCTCCAAGATGCCCAGGTCCTATACAACCCCTCCAAGATGCCCAGGTCCTATACAACCCCTCCAAGATGCCCAGGTCCTATACAACCCCTCCAAGATGCCCAGGTCCTATACAACCCCTCCAAGATGCCCAGGTCCTATACAACCCTTCCAAGATGCCCAGGTCCTATACAACCCCTCCAAGATGCCCAGGTCCTATACAACCCCTCCAAGATGCCCAGGTCCTATACAACCCCTCCAAGATGCCCAGGTCCTATACAACCCCTCCAAGATGCCCAGGTCCTATACAACCCCTCCAAGATGCCCAGGTCCTATACAACCCCTCCAAGATGCCCAGGTCCTATACAACCCCTCCAAGATGCCCAGGTCCTATACAACCCCTCCAAGATGCCCAGGTCCTATACAACCCCTCCAAGATGCCCAGGTCCTATACAACCCTTCCAAGATGCCCAGGTCCTATACAACCCCTCCAAGATGCCCAGGTCCTATACAACCCCTCCAAGATGCCCAGGTCCTATACAACCCTTCCAAGATGCCCAGGTCCTATACAACCCCTCCAAGATGCCCAGGTCCTATACAACCCCTCCAAGATGCCCAGGTCCTATACAACCCCTCCAAGATGCCCAGGTCCTATACAACCCCTCCAAGATGCCCAGGTCCTATACAACCCCTCCAAGATGCCCAGGTCCTATACAACCCCTCCAAGATGCCCAGGTCCTATACAACCCCTCCAAGATGCCCAGGTCCTATACAACCCCTCCAAGATGCCCAGGCCCTATACAACCCCTCCAAGATGCCCAGGTCCTATACAACCCCTCCCAGATCCCAGGAAGATGTCTGTCTTCCTGATGTCACCAGAAGATGTCTCTGGTCTCCCGTATGATATACATTGTCTCTAAGGGTAGACCTATACATGTGTATATTTTCCGCTGTATCAAATGTGTATTGTTAAGTCGTAGAATGATACTCGACTGTACATGTAAATACATTGAAATACAAGTTCTTTGTAATATGGTTACAGTCCGTGTAAAGCTGAAGCCGTTGAATATTAACACGGCATTGATCAAATTTTGCAATGAATAAACAGGATGCAATTTTGGATGATTTTGCTAGTGTTCTGTTGATAAATTCATTATTATAAATATATGTATACTGTCTCTCTGACCCCTTTCCCCCCCCTCCCCCCTTTTTACACCTCATCACCCCCCCCCCCTCCCCACTCATCCTCCCTCTTCACCTTCATCATCCTTACCCCCTTTTCACCCTACCCCCCCCCCCCCCTCCTGCCAGCCCTCCCCTTCATACATACATTCATTATTAATTTTAAGGCAACTCTCAGTTCTGTACAAAGTATGTATTCTGTATATTATGTATATATTCACCAATTAAAAAGGTAAACAACGATGTATTGTTATTTAACCAAATAAAATAGTTGATGCAATAGTAATTATATTTCGTTCAAATAACGATTTACAATAAAACAAAAATTGTAGAGAATTAATACAGTTAAAAGGATGGTTTAAATCTCTTAATAAGAGAATACACTACAGCATTTAATTCCTGGCCTGATCTTACGGTATGTTTTTTTTTTATTTCCTTGCGCTGTGTTTTTGTTATTTCCTTGTGCTGTGTTTTTGTTATCTCCTTGTGCTGTGTTTTTGTTATCTCCTTGTGCTGTGTTTTTGTTATCTCCTTGTGCTGTGTTTTTGTTATCTCCTTGTGCTGTGTTTTTGTTATCTCCTTGTGCTGTGTTTTTGTTATCTCCTTGTGCTGTGTTTTTGTTATCTCCTTGTGCTGTGTTTTTGTTATCTCCTTGTGCTGTGTTTTTGTTATTTAGTTGGCTAGTCAAGGTGGTGACGAAGCTGTGAAACAGACAGCTTACTGCAGGCTTCATCCAAGTTTTAGTATATTCACACAGGAATCACAATAGCGTGATGCATCAAATGTTGTAGCTCACTCGATTAAGGCAGCGTCTGGGATGCTCTCGAACGTAGGTTCGAATCCTCGGCACGGCCCTTGTGGATTTGTTCATTAATATATTCATCCTTTTCATTTACCTGATGAATTTTTAATAGAAGATTTTTTTTTTACTTGACATCAAAGTACCATTGACATCACAAAATTATGAACCATTTAAGAATTTCACAAAAATGTCCAACGAGGTGCAAAAATTTTTGTTATGTTATGTTTTCTTCTTTATTTGCAAAGTACAGCATACTTAGACGTCAGGCTGCGAGCAGCCGCGTCTAACAGCCTGGTTGATCAGTCCAGCAACCAGGAGGCCTGGTCAACGACCGGGCCGCGGGGACACTAAGCCCCGGAAGCACCTCAAGGTAGGTAGGTACTTTGTCAGTTGGCAAAATATTTTCAATAAATGTCTAAGACGTCTTTACTACGAAGATAATTTGGTATATGTTACTGATTGACAGATAGTTCGTCACGATAAGAGGTTGGGTGATGATGATGAGTTTATCATTAAAGAGTTCCGGAATACATATTTGCTATGTCTTCAACAAATTCAGATGAGTTGAAGTGTTCATATGATCGAGCATTACTGTGTTTTGTTAATACACAAAACATGAAATTCTTCTCAGATTTGACGTGTTGCCCAGTCGGCTCACACCCGCATGGCCCCGGGTTCGATTCCCTAGTAGGATGAAAGCGCTCCAGTGCGCTTCTTCACAACCGTTGCCGTAAATAGATATCCCTGGGAGTGAGCTGTTGTGTGTTGCGTCCTGTGGAAGGTCAGACGATGTCCTCAGGAACCTCCACAAGCTCAGTGCAGGACTTCCTCTCCACGACCTTCGTAAACCAAAGCATAACACCCGTCAATGGTAGATTATTATTTAGTTTACTCTGTAAACTCTGTCTGGAGGAGGATTAGAATGCGTCTTGGATTGAATAAAAGCTTCATTCAAGCTTCTTGGCTTGAATGTAAAGCATCAAGACGGACAAGTGCTGCTTTTGACGAGGTCCAAGACGGACAAGTGCTGCTTTTGGCGAGGTCCAAGACGGACAAGTGCTGCTTTTGGCGAGGTCCAAGACGGACAAGTGCTGCTTTTGGCGAGGTCTAAGACGGACAAGTGCTGCTTTTGGCGAGGTCTAAGACGGACAAGTGCTGCTTTTGACGAGGTCTAAGACGGACAAGTGCTGCTTTTGGCGAGGTCTAAGACGGACAAGTGCCGCTTTTGGCGAGGTCCAAGACGGACAAGTGCTGCTTTTGGCGAGGTCTAAGACGGACAAGTGCCGCTTTTGACGAGGTCCAAGACGGACAAGTGCTGCTTTTGACGAGGTCCAAGACGGACAAGTGCTGCTTTTGACGAGGTCCAAGACGGACAAGTGCTCTCAGTATACAGCCCTCAATACGTTGTTAATATCAGAATAGCAAAAAATTATGTACTTAGCATATTTAAGGTCTTTAATAAGCAATCATGCACCAGCCAAGGGTATTGACGGACTGGGAAAAATGCAAAATGCCGCCCCCTCAGAATCATACTTGGCTGTCCAATAACCGAAGTTCTCAATATGCGGAAAGAATTAAATATACCTGGCATTCAAGACGAAATATATTTGAAATCAATCATGTAATGGGACTATAATGCTTCTACGTGATAATAAAAATAACATTGTATCAGTTGAACTGTTAGAACACATACGCAGTGGATCCAGTGATTCCAGACGGATTCAAAGAACAACCACTCGTATTAAAATGTTGTTAGTGCATGATGTACGAGAGGATGAACGCGTAGTACAGCACCTTCCTTACACCCTGGTAAATACCCAGCAAACACACAGCCAAACTACGACATTGGTACAACGTACGAACAAGTTTTAACACCTAACCAGTTATAACAACCAATATAGCAAGTTGTAACAACGTACTGATACGTCATAAACACGTTAAGCCAAGATGTAACAACTTTATTACAAGTTGTAATAAGCGAAAAATAGAGACTGTTACGATTTGTGTTTCCAGGGTACCTTTCTGACATCCTGACACCTGCATACCCCCAAGAAACTAACTACACACAATCCCTCATGCTCAGCTTGCTGCTGAATTAAGTACCCTGGAATACATACGCTATTTACAAGGTAAAAACATCACCACACAGATTAGATACACCGATGGGTCACTTAATTCAGCTACAGGGAGGGCGGGAAATGTTATTACTGTTCATCAGCTCTATGGAAGTACTATTGGAAAGATTATAAGAGTTATTGAGAGTCTGCCCGAAAAGCTGCGCGTACTAGTGGCTTTACAAGATTGTAAATACTATGCTATGTATTCTCTCTAACCCAATGTACCTTCTTGTATATAAATGAATAAATAAAATAAAATAAAAATTATTTGGGCATCTTGTCGAGCCTGGTCTCAGCCCGGGCTCGGGGAATATAAGAACTCCCGAATCCTCTCCAGGTATGCTCCAGGTATCCAAATTACTTTAGATTCCAATTCCTCATTACTAGCATTAAATAATTTATAATCAAATGA